TTTTGACAAAGTGTCTGTTATTTCTCACCTTCTGTCAATCTGAACGTTGATAGAGCAGGTGTTGCGAGATTAACGTTACTACTCAGAGAAGGAACTCTCGCGAGACTTCCGGTAGAGACTTCCTGTTAAGGTTAGATAATGTGTTTTTAAATTGAGTGAAAATATATATTAAAATATATATAAAAAGCGGAAAATAAGTTGGAAAATCACAAAAAAAGTTAGATGGAAGAAAAAAAACATTACAACATTACAATAAAATATATCACACAAAACAAAGTTAATAACATTCAAATCAATAAATACTGAATCAGCACAGTCTTAAAAGATCAGGATGCAAATTAGTTTTAAGTGTGAGTCTAATATTAAAATGTAACAAACAGATGCAGGCTGAAATGGTAAATTATTAGTTGCAATGCCAAAAACGTAGATCTTTACTAAATCTAGTGTTTGAGATGNGATGTTCATAAGCACATAGCGCAATTTATAAAAAATATGCTCAAGCCATAGTATAGTTAAAGGTGGGGTATGTCATTTATTTCAGAAACACTTGTTATATTCCATGGAATGCTCTTAACATCCCGATTGCAATGAATATCTTAAATGCTTTGACAATAAATACATTATAAATATCATCTGTGGAAGCCGTAGTACTGTAAAAAGCACGACCAATCATCTGAGCCGGCCCGGCTAAAATAACTGGATGGCCTACCTGCCTGTCAGCCTTCCATCTGTGCACAAACTTATCTTGTGCCCTCATTGGTCATGTGCTCATTTGTGTGTGTGTTGGAGGAGGGGCTCTGTAAGGAAGTGGCAGATTTTTTCCGGCTGTGTATTTTCTAATTCTAGCGCACTCGAGCTGGTTTCTCCAAAATTACCTACCCCACCTTTAATTGTGCGTGTGGGAATGTCAGAGGGGGAAAGTGAGAAAAAAGTTATATCCCATACAGTATAAGCTTTAAAACCACAAACAGATGTATCTGCAGCTCAATGTCAACAACTCTCTTGCTGACATTGCATGATTATATTGTTTCAGTTCTTTCCTTCCATGCATCTAAAAAAATAAAAAAATGTATAAGAGAAATGTTCACTGTGGTTGCTGGTACATTAGACATCAAATATGTTTCCTGCTATTCTTTAATCATCTAAAACTTTGTATTCTTTATGTGCTACATCTGAGTGAGTGACATCCGGCTATCCACTTAAAGGAGAGAGACAGGCTAATCCCTCTGTTCTAACTCTGCGTATAATGAGATTTCAGAGCTATGAAAGATGCCAGTTCTCACTGCCCTTTCCATGTGCTAAGCTCCGTGGAGGCACTACCTTGGATTCTGTTGACCCTTAAGGTGCCATACACATGGAGACATGACCATTGTAAAGGTTTCAGCCAAAACTACTCAACCCCTTTTTTTTTTTTTTTTTCTTTCTTCTTTAATTAGAAAGTAGCCCTTCTTTCCCCCGTTAGACAGAGAAAGAAAACTACACTCTCAGTGGGCATTGGACAGACACATTTCTGGTTGGACAGCAACACAAGATGCTAGTTGTGGACCTGTTTGGCTAAAGAGGAAACCTTTTGTTCTCTTTGTACTGAGTGAGACCTGATGGATGAGGTAAGTCTCAGAGTTCATGCTGAAAAGGAGGAGAACTCCACCTCTTGAAATCTACTAGATTCATTATTCCCTGTAAGCTTTTTGCTCATAATCTTGTTGAAGGGCCAAAGAAATGATACGATTGACTTTGTGTCTCTTGGGGAAAGCGTTTGTCATAAACAAGAGAGTGGAATTCCCTCTTGCTTTTCTTTCTCACGGATGTGAATGTTTAACCGACCGTAAAAGAGTAACACAGACAGAACAGACTGAAGGCACGGTTGTGAGTGCCCCGAGGCAGCGGGTGGAGGCTGCAGTGCATCCCTCCAGGCAGCAGTGACTCGCACTCAAACACACAGACGCTCAGATGAGGGAGGAGTAGGAAAGAGAGGGAGTGGCATTTGAACAGACGGCACTTCTTCACTGAGGAGGGCAAAGGAGTGCAGCCTGTCAGTCGCTCTGTCACTGAAAAGCGGCGGGGAAAGACCCGAAGCCGCCTTTTTGTCTTCTTATGGCCCTTCACTGTTTCTGGAGGCAGATGAAAAGGAGGTAGCTCCTGACGGGGAGGCCTTCGTTTGGTTTCGGTCAACAGGATGCATCTGAAGGTAGAACACATTCATCAGGCCGTGATGAAGATGCTACCGTATTTTGTGGAGAACGCTGTGCTGACCCAGAGTGAGATAAACCGCATGTGAGTCAAACGTTCTCTTTTCTGAAATGGGGTTTGAACTTGTGGAAATAATGATGAGATTTGAGATCCAACACTAGGTTTGGACCTACTGCTCAGTGGTTGTGCTTCTCAGATTAGAATTAGGTTTAAATAACTTGCTGTTTATATATTGGTAATTATTGATCTACTGTAAATGTTTGAATAGTTGATGGGTCATTTTGGAACATATGCTATGGTGTCATTTTCAGGCTAACAGATTATCTCCAAACATGCACACCTGATATGAGATAGTGGACTTCAATCAAAATAAGTTTGCCTCCCATGATAGCTGAAATGCAGTGGTGCACAAATGACTGTTAGTGATATTTCAGGACCGTTCAGCCATATACATTTTCATCGTAGTCTGGAAAAGAGCACTTTCTACTTTTGTTTGTTATTTTTGTTTTACTTGCTTGTAAGCGCTTTGAGCACCAGGAAAAGTGCTTTATACATGTAATGTATTATTATTTTTATTATATGTGCTATATTGTTCTATTTTGGAATCATTGAGCTATCTGGCAAGCTTTTCTGTCATAGTCATTGTTTGCTTTGATACCAGATGTATTTTTAGCCCTCGTGTTTGTGGAGAAGTTGATAGCATAGTGTTGCAGGTCAAGATCTGGGGCCGTTTTAATTATGACGTCTGAACAAAGGCTGTAAATCAATAGGACAGCTCTAAATGTACTCACGAAGAGTGCAAGTTTGATGTGTTTTTTTCTCTTAAGTTATCATCTATCCAAGGCTTATCTGAGGACTAAAGGTTAGTTTAGTTAAAATAGGAAAATAAGCAGCTGAGAGTTGTACACAGTGCTGAGCAGTGTGTTCTTGCTCTTGCCACTTTCCCCTCATATTATCCATCATTCCCTGACAGTAGACCCTCCTGACAGCCTCATGAATCAGAGAACAGAGACACAGAAATCCACCAAAGTGAGACAAAAGCTTGTTGAGAAGTGTCCGCCCCCGTGCTTTGTCAATGTGGAACTTTTCCCTGTGCTCCGGGGGCGAGGGAATTTATTCTGAGGTGCACAAAACGAAATTCATTGTTCCCACAAAATCATCTGTTTGTCCCTGGCCTGTTCCTCTGTACGTAGGTTTTGAAAATCGGATCAGAGAGAGCAGAAGGAGGGAACAGTTTCAAAGCTGAATAAAAAATGTGATGGTGAAAGACTTTCATCGATACCTGTTCAAACGGCCAATGTCCCTGGGTTGATAGTAGGAGAGTCACAAACATTTCTAGTAGTGACAGCTGTGGATGCAGGTTAAGACTTTTCTCCTGACTTGTCAAACTTAAGGTATCATCAGTTAAAAACAATATGAAGCTGTTATTAGTATTGCTCTTTAAAGCTGACATTAGCTAGTACCTACTTAAAGATGTCCTGGTTGGCCAGACTGCACACACAGAATATGTGCAATAGGTGCAGGTGCTCCACCCTTTTATTATGAATGTGTGCACATTGTTTTTCAGTCAAATGGAATGATTGAATTCAGCCCAAAGGAAAATCCTCGCTTGTTTTTTTTATTGCTATTCTCAACTTATGTCATCTGTTGACAGCTCCAAAGGCTAACCTGTAAAACTAAGGGAGTTTACAGGCAGGTGTGAACTGGTAATTGCTGCTTTTCGGCAATTGTGAGACTTAATTATCACAAACAACTGCAGTTAAGTCAATTATTTTAGTCTGTGTTGCATTACAGCAAGCCAGCAGAGAACTGACAAGTCAAATCTGAGCGCAGCCCATGCAGTAGAAAAAAGACAGATAAGCATTCAGGATCAAAGCTTGATTCACGGCCGCTGTAACGTGGCAGCTGGGCTATTCCACTCAGCTGCTGAGGTAATTCACCGACCGCAGGCGGCCATGATTTATGCTCATCTCTCTGGCTAAGACTGTTGAATCTGAATATTGAATTTGTCCAACCAACCGGCTCGGATGTTTTGCTGAGTTGCTCTGCGGCGTGGTGTCTGATGTATAGCGTCTGTGTATCAGTGCTTGTAACTGCTCTTTCCCATTTGTTTTGCAGCCTGAGTGAGAGCTACTTTATGGTGAAGGGCGCTGCTCTCTTTCTGCAGCAGGGGAGCAGTAATGAGGGACAGAAAGCACATCCTCACCACAAACATGCAGGTAAGAAACCCAAAAGCACAACCTGCCCTGTCATCCACATCGTTTTCTAAATGTAGGTTTATCTAATTCATCTTTTGTGTGTGAAGAGTTGATGTGATTGACTTTGTAACACTACATCAAATGCTTTGAGCTGAGGGGAGAAAAATGGAAGCTGCTTTGTTTGATAAGTATGTTCTAGACGTATAGTTTGAGAAGATTAAAGTTGAAATCCAGCTCATGGTGGCACTGTGACGATTAGAAGCGGCCCTGATTGTTTGCATTACCCTGTTTGTCCTCACTCACTGACCAAACCTTCCTGAGTAAAGGGTGAATCGGGTGAATGTGCAACACTTTGCTCCGCACCCTTTATGCCTTTCATTTTGTTTAAAGCACATTGAGTTTGAGCTGACCCCGCCTCAAATCCTGTGTTTCTTATGTAATTACAAATTGACAAAACACCATTTTTGGTTTCAGATGATTATATGAAAATTAAAACATAGCTATGTATATTATATTCAGTTTCTTTCAATAAGTCCCCCTCAATCCAACACACTGGGTCAAAGTCTGTTTTGGCAGTGGTGGCCTTCTTTATCCACTCAAACCCTTATTTTAGCCAGTTTTCAAAAACATTTGCCCGGGGAAATAGTTTTATCATCGCCCAGCAACTGTAGGCCTGAGCAGAAAAGTAGGCAGTTGGTTAACTTTTGCCAAGTGCTTGATAAAGGTGTTCCTGCTCTGTAAACAGGAATCAGGTATCTTCACCCGCCAGTTTTGAGGAAATAAACACGACACGCCAGAGCTTATATACGTTTAGATATGATACACTTACCTGAGGTTCTCTGAAGCCACACTAAAGTGTTCATCACTTGTTATGAAGAGGAAATTGACTATTTAGGTGTGTCCTAATTGATGTTTTCTTTGACATACAAGTGAGCTATTCCCCTTTGGGAGAATCAGTGTAATCCACTCATACAGAATAATATGTTATAGGAAATGGATGTAGTTTATGATGTAGCAGGAAGTGAGTTGAACTGGTCTGGACCTCTCGCCTCAACATGGACACTTGATAGCGAATTGTCTGCAGATATATTTATGTTTCTGTGTAGTGCTGTTGAATGTTGCAGCTGTTATCATTCAGAGCAGATGCCCTCTTGGCTGCCACAGAGCCAGGATGAAAAACTAAAACCACAATATCACTTGACTTTTTGAAATTGAATCCGCTCTAATCCATCAAAACGATCATAACACAATGACATGTTTTTAACCAGATGTTTTTGGTAGCAGATATTGAAAATGAAGCTATAGCTTTAACAGCATTCATCAAATATTGGCAAAATAGTTTTTAACATATTCCAAAAAGCATTTTTATATCCTGACAATAGGTGTTTTGCCTAGCATTGCATTTTTTATATGTAATATATAATGAACAATTCACTACCCTTGTGACAGTTTGAACATGCATGTGCTCTAGTTAAAGATGCATTTTAATCAGTTTGCCAAACGTCTGTTTTTGCTTTTGTAACCTTAAGTCATGCATTGTTTAGTTATATCAAAGCAATCGTCCTTAGGCTATACATAAAGAACTTTAAAAGAACTGATATCCTTAATGCAAAAACAGATGCATTATGTTAAGACATGGACCCAGAAAGAAGAGAAAATGACCAAAGACATATTCTGGAGAAATATTAAACACGTTTTAACTTTGATTTGACTGAGAACGCATGCAGCGGTTTTGTGAGATACAAAGACGGCATGAGTCATGACCTGCTGCTGCTGCGGGCACTTTCTGTTTCATGCCAGCAGCTGTTATAAAAACAGTGAGGATGACGTGATCCGTCTACCTGTTGACATATTTCAACATGGTTGGATCTCCATCAGCTGATATTCTGCATTGCTCTGGGTCCACACCCTGTTTTTATTATCAATCTTCACTTCTAAAATGCCACAACAAATGCCAGCTGATATAAAAACATGTTTGAAGTAATGTCTCCAGGAGTGCATTGTAACACTTATCTGCACTTCACTACAGCAATGCTTTTAATTATACAAGCTTATTGTCGCCCCAGCATGTATTATGTTTTCATTAATATCAGTGTTTTGAAGAGGAAATATAGTAAATGTGTCTTTCAAGTGAAAAAGTGTCAGTTTGTACGACGAGGTCGATTTATAACCAGCAGCTCGTCATGGAACATTTCTTTCTTTATTATCTTCCTCAACAGGCGACTTACCTCAACACTTACAGGTGATGATAAACATTCTTCGCTCGGAGGACAGAATCAAACTGGTGAGAGACAACATAAGTATATGCATACATCAAAACACACATACACACACAAACAGGCCTATGACTAAGAACCTGGCAATGCAAACCCTCCAGTATGCCTTTTATTGTGTGCTCATTTGTTCACTGTAATTATTAGCTCATGAGAGCAGGTTTGAACGCACTCAGGAGAGCATTACCAAATGTTTCCATGGTGTGTGTGCAAGTGTTAAGCTCAGTTATTACATGGTATGTTCACCAGCTCTGTGCTTTCTTACATCCTGGGGACTCGGTTCCCTTATAACTCCAAATTTGTATTCAAGTTTTTTTGTTTTTTTTTTGACACTTTGTTAGGCACAGATTTAGCAGAGTCTGTGTTTTAAAGGTTTTCGCTTCTCTACGGTATTTGCTGTTTTTTTACGATCAGATTTTCCAACTCTTATGTTGACTGGGCATGAAAAGCACACACTTGCCTCACTTTGCATTATTTCAATTAAGTATGGTTCAACCCACACGTTTGAAGTGTAATACTGAATGACTGGTGTTAACTTTTATTAAACAAGCTTAAATTAAAGCATGTTTATATATATATATATATATATATATTTATATATATAGTAATTACCTTTCAGAAACACTCTTTTCAAGATTCAAGATTCAATGCTTTTATTGTCATTTGCACATAGCTACAGTGTAGTTATGAAAATCTTAGGTCACAGGCTCCTCCAACAGTGCAACACAATCAACCAGATAAATATACAAGTAATTGGAATATTGATATAAGTTGCAAACGGATGAATGTTATGGATGTTCTTTCAAAAGTTCAGGTGTTTAACCGTCTTATGGCCTCTTCCATAAATACTGCAGTAATTGAATGTCGTTTTCTTTGGTGGCTGTTCTCAGGCAACAACAGGAAACAGGATTTCTTACTCTTAGCCGAAAAGGTCTGGCTTTGTATTTGTAGTGAGACTGTGTGTTCTCATGCAGGCGGTGCGTCTGGAGACAGCGTGGTCTGACCGGGTGCGCTACATGGTGGTGGTCTACACCAGTGGGCGACAAGACACAGAGGAGAACATCATGCTGGGGATCGACTTCACCAGCAAAGACAGGTCAGAGTGAAGTGACTGTTATTTTGTATATATTGATTGTTGTGCCTTTAGGTCTTAATGTGTGCATATGTATACATGTGTCTTCGATTGTGGATATAGGTATATACTGTACATATTTGCACACATATTTTTATACATATTTGTTTTTGTATTCGGGATTGTGGAAAACGGAATTTCGATCTCTGTCCGTACACAAACTGAAAGATTGAC